TATGGTCGCCAGAGGGGATCAGAGTGACTGCATATCAAATAAAATATACATGAGATATCATTGATAGATGATGTACATCAAAACTCGATACGCCAAAGTTCTACTTTTTTTCTACTATAGTCGCAGCTATCCACAATGTAAACACTGTGACGTCATTATTTAGGAAGAGACGACGGGTTCCTGGGAGAAATATATSTGTTCTTATATCCAAGCAAGCTGTAATCACAACTGCGGTTGCGATCGAAAAATTCGGTAAACAAGAACTATTCAGGCAAGGAATCCTTCTAAGAATGTTTTCCAGGAAGAATAAAAATTTACTAAAAAATATATATATAAGCCGTTTTTACCATAAAACGTTTACCAGGAACAAAAAGAATAGTTAGAAGGAAGGGCGCCACAGTTGCTTTGTGAGATTGTCAACAATGTAGCTCAAAATCCCTTTCCCAGAAAAACATTCGTAAAAGAACAGTTAGAAGAACAGACCTCGTTGGCTCCTCCTGATTATGGCTTAGGGCATTTGAAACACACGCAAAATTAGGATTCTTTCGACAATTATTATTGTTTGTTTGTTTGTTTTTCTAAATCCAGACTCACCTCTTTTAGATAGTATGAATGTATGAATTATCATTTGATGTAATAATCGGGAGTTAAATAAAGTTATTTTAACATAATTATTGAGCTTGGGCTWCCTGTGGTACAAGTAAGAGGTCCGTTACGTCACTCGTCCCAGTCCTAGCAAGCCAGGAAAAGGAACGCCTGTCGAAGTCTGCTGTACACAACTTCATCAAAATCTCAGTATGAAGAAGCGCCACAGAAAAAGATCAGAGAAAAAGAARCTTAAAAATTCAAGCAAGGAAGTTGCAGCAATCTCAGGTAAACTGTAAAATGATTCAGATCGACTGTCGGGGACTGACACGAAAACTCGGAGACTCGGTCTTTATCTCCGAAACATATAAAGCTTATGTCTTGTTTGCTGGTTCTATAGTGTTGCCCGGGAGTGTTGCTATTCGAAACGAACTTTGTGGTGGTTTACCACGGTTTCAAWGAGAAACTGAATACTTAAAAATGGTTGCAAGAATGACTAGCGTCTACAATGAAGTTTGATGGAACAGCTGGATTTTTTCCAATTTAGATAAACACTTTATCTACTAAAATTTTTTGGACTTTACTAAACTGTCGTCATTGTTGCTGTTGATCATGGCCGGTGTATTCGACAAGGCCTATAGGGACCTTCGGAAACTAAATACAACATAATAAGTTCATTGGACACTTTCTTACTTCTGAAGTTTAACTCCAATGGAGAGCATGTCCTGATCGACTTTATATTAAAATCGAATTAATTTAAAATGCATCTTATGGCAAAATAAATCACAAATGAGAAAACACACACTATAATTTGAGATTAATTATAAAATTATTGTGATTTACAGCAATAAATCTATATTAAATCATCTATACCAATATCTATACAATTTTATTTTTAACGATTCATTATCTTAAGGTTCAGACTTATATCTTGGAGATTTTGCAAATGCCAAAGAGCCAAAGAAAACCTCAAAAAAGATTCTGAAAAGCTCTCTAAATCCAAAGGCAAAAGGTATGAATCTCTTAACATTAACAATATCATGCCTGTCGTAAAATACTCAATTCTGATTTGCTGACATCGGTGAATCTTTTCCTAATTCATGCAATGAATTATTACCATGGGTGCTTATTAATTAATTACACTGTAAATTCATCCCAGAAGTCTTTGCGGTGCATGGCATTTTCAAAAAAAGTTCACAGTCACTATGGATTTTGTGGGATATTTTGGTTTCGAGGATTTTTTATTTTTATTTTTTAACGAACTGTCAGAATTTTTCGCTGGATTTATTTGACAATTTAGGTGAAAAAGTCAGCTGCTAATAATACAAGGGATGACAAAACAACTGAAAAGAGTTTACTTTCYAGGCAGTTACAGACAATGACATTTAGGCTCTAAAAGAGAAATCTTGAAATAAAAATACAGCAAAGACAACAAAGACTTACATTAACACTTTCTAATGCTGGGCTGAGGAAAACAAAGAGAGTCAAGCAAATGCTTAATTTAATGTATTAAACTTGCCTTGGGAAAATGGCGTTTTGAATGATCTATGCTTGATATTATTTTGCTATTATTTACAAGTAGAGGTTGTTGTACAACTTCCATTATATAATGTCCATATGCATGGCTCTATAATAATGTACCTATAGAAGTCTCTTATGTCCCTATAGATGGTTCATTAATTATATATTATTCAATCTTATGTACATATGCGTCGTATTCATGCATGCCGTTGCATAAATATCACAAAAATTCAGGTTAACTCAAGCGAATTGGTCTCGTGGCTTAATGGTTAGGTTTAGGGAAAATATCGGGTTAGGCAATGCATAGCACTGGTTCGAATCTTAGCACTCGTCCTTTAAAAATTTCTTTTCGGTTCAATTCTAAGTCTTTGAAAATTTTGTTCTTTATATAAGAATACTAATAAGGGTGACCTTTATCAGATATTTATAAAGGTCCATGACCCTAGCAAAGTTCTCAGGTTTTAATACCTGATCATTAACCAATGCMGGATGTCAACTGAATGCAGTAAAACAGCCATCAGCACTTCTATTTCACTTTTTATGTGTATTCAATGTGGGATGACAAGAGTGCTCTGTAAAGTGATTCATGCATGATCAGTTTGCCCCATTTATCTCAAAACTTATATTGTAATATATTTATGGCAATTTCTCCAAGAATTTTAATGGCTTTGAGCTTTAATTAGTGTTGGAATTTTTAACCCGTTTAAAACACTCGATATCGTGTTTTATTAGGTGTAAAGATTCTCGCCTTCAGCTCTATAGATACATATGGGATAGAATCAAATATTTTATGTACATGTAGTCATGTTTATTAAATAGAGGATATTACATAAGCACGCGCATAGTGTTGAAAAGATCTCTTAAGAGTGAAAAAGCAAACTATGYCGTAAAATACCTTTTTTACTTTGAAAAACAACAAAAATGTGTTATTTTCAACATTTTGAAAGAGAGAAATTAGGTATTATATGATAAAAGGATATACCATTTTTGTTCTTGACAAATTATTGAAAAACCACATGGTATTTTTTATTTATTTTTCTCGAACCGTGTTTTATCTTATAAATTACTAAAAATACTGTTGTGATACCAAAATAGAGCACTTAAATGATACAGCATGGAAAGAAATATTGAAAGGATAAAAGCCCTCGAGGTGAACTTTCTTTTGTCTTTCCCTTTCTTACAAGAATATCATTTTCTTTAGAACTTTTTCAGAGTTTCTTGAATTATCAGTATATTAGCTTATACTATAGACATTATCATACTGTATTTCAGAACATAGTACATGGATTAGCATACAATTGGTGCAAATTTGAGAGAATCTACCCTCTGGTTCCCTGAGGTTCTTGGCTTGTTTTCTTGTGCTTATAATGATTGTTGAGCCATGTAGTAGTTAGATGTTTCAACTAATTGTTAATTTTTCAACACCGAAGCATCTGGTTTCGAGAATAGATGATCTCCATTTCATGCTGTTAGAGTTTAGCTGTCAAACATATCGAATATACATCACAGACAACAGATCATATTACTCCGATCCATGGTTGGGTATTTTTTTGACATGTTTGACAGCTAAAATACAGGATGAAAGTGAAAAAACAACAATAAACCGAGACTTCTCCCTTTTGAGTGAATCGGTGATAATGATAATTAGGAGATGACCAGGGTAATACTAATACGATCTAGAATCTAAAAATGAAATTTGAGATTTGGCCGAAACGATAAGATTCCTAAGCTGGGTTCATTGTTCCATTCCTGATATCAAAATTTTTAAATTTTAAAATCGATTTTTCTATCAAATGTGACAGATTCATACATCGAGTTTTTTTATCAATATTTTATAGCAAGCTGATATGAGACAAAAATTCTATACTACCTACGTGTAACTGCAACAAACTGTAAAATAAATTTCTAACAAGAACCACTTCGTGGAACATACCGTGTCCAGTTTTGCCGTGAAATATATATTTTTACCAGCGCCGCGATCGATTTGATATTTTAGCATTCAGATTGCATTCGCATTGTCCTCAGAGAATTTATAAGGCGAAAGTTCGCTTTGCATTTTAGAAAGAAAAAAAGAACGAGTATATTTTAAAGTTAAAGAAAGAAAGAAAAAAAATTGTTTAGAAGCTTCTCGAGTCGAGAATCGAACCCGAGATCGTCAGTTCAACGCCGCTTTTCAAGTATGATCTTGTGTGTAAAATATGTAAAACAAATATCTACAGGAAAAATAAGAATAAGTATATTTCAGTAAAAAAGGAAAGAGGGAAAGAAAAAAGAATCGCTAAGAGCCGATCGAGTCGAGAATCGAACCCGCGATCCTAAGTTCGACGCAATTCGAGTACGATAGTCTGTAAAATCAAAATAACGGCTCGAAAATAATTGTTAAAAGAATATTTACAGACAAAATCAACATAATTGTAACAACTTCATTTTAGTTAAAAAAGAAAAAAAAGTGAGTCGAGAATCGACGCTAGGAGACGAGATTCGAACCCGCGATCCTCTCTTCCACTCCGCTGATCGAGAGTCATCATCTTGTTTCTAAAATTTAACAAACGCGGCTCGTAAATATTAATAAAACAAATTGCTACGATAAACATATAACATGACTAGAACACCTATTTTTCAGTTCGAAAAAAGGAAAGAAAGACAAAAGAAATAATTTTTCAGACGGGCTCGAGTCGATGATCGAAGCTTGGAACTCTGGATTATGGTTCCCTTGGGATTGCTAAACTGCGACTTGGAAAAAAAATAAAAAACAGAATGGTGTGTTTTGTCAAATTAGTTTCAATAATTTGTTTATGCGGTATTTTTGTTCACTAAAATAGCAATTTATTTTTTTCTGTTTTTGTTTGTTTGTTTTTAATAAGACACTTTGATTCTTCAGGCTGATTGTGTTCTTAGATTTAGTACATGGTACCTAAAATGCCATAAATTAGGCTGGGTGGTGTTCTTGATCCACTTGTTACTATATGCGGGGTCTTACTGAAAATTAGACACTTCGTTAACTGTTATTCAGTCGATGTCTCTTTCAAAACGTTTTTGTTCAATGAGCCTGTGATCTTAATACTATATAAAGATGTGCCTGCTACAAATAGAACGTTCACTGTGGGACATTGTACGTCAATCGCTTAAGATACAAAAAACTGGCTAGCGAGACAAGGGAAAACCAATTTTAGTTAAATAAGGTAGAATGTGCAGGTGATGAGAAATCTTCCAGTTATAAAATATAAGAAGGACACCGAGGTGAAATTCATTTCTTAATCGAGTTAGTTCAATCAATAGGTGATTGAATTACTCTTTGTGAAAGCAAAGAGACAGATTCTAAAACCAAAACAGCCGTAAAGTCTAAACTCAAGACTCGTTAACATACATAGGCTGTACAAGTCCATGTAGTCATTCCGTTTCGAGAACGAAGAAAATAATTCTGCTGCAACAAGGAGTTAGTGTAAAACGTCGGYTAGAACGCTCCAAAACATACCACAAAAACAGAACAAAATTAGGATTTCGGGGGTCTTTGAATAGGCGCAAGAACACTGACATGTCTATATACAATAAGACTTATTTTAGAAATGTTTCCATTTCTGTGAATGAAAACACGTCCACGGTTAGAGTCCACCACGATTTCCAGTTTTCATTTCCCATGAGTATGGTACTCATTACCATAAATTTGATTCTTGCASTATTTGGAACATTTGGAAACTTTCTGATCATCTTTGCTGTTCTAAGTACACCTCACATTCGACGAAAGGTATCGAATTTCATTCTTCTGAGCCTAGCAGTTGCAGATTTACTGGTTACTGTAGTTATTCAGCCTTTATATGCAGCACAGATGATTATATCGTTTTTCCATCGATGCAGCCTAGCCAAGACATTCGGCATTGCCTGGAATGTTTTGGGAGTTCTCTCTACCTTWAGTTCGGTGTTACATCTTGCCTGTATCAGTGTTGAYAGAGCGATTTGTACTGCAAAGCCMCACCAATATCGTGATATAATCAAGAAATGGTACAAGGYGATGATTGGCGCCTGTTGGGGAGCTGCCTTTGTAAGYTGCTGCAYATMTTCCGTATTTCGACTTGTTTCAGGCARCACACTTCTTGGTTCACCTCTCTTGATAGCTATTCCGCTTTTGAGCTTGACTATCATGCTTGCTTCATATGGAACGATTCTTTGCAAAATTAAGTCCACCACCATCGCACCTGCCTTTCCTGGATTGTCTGCAGTTGTAAGGGACAGGGCAATGGAGAATCGAGTTTCTAAAACAATTGGGATTGTCATCTTGCTCTTCTTCGCTTGCTGGATTCCTCCTATTGTGAACCTCATAGTTGGACCAAAGCTTGTTCATCATTGTGGAAATTTGATTTCGAAGAATCTCCCATGGTTTCTTAGTGTTACCTTTGCTAACTCCTCTATGAATTTTTTGGTGTACAGCTTGCGAATCCGTCACTTTCGCATTGCCTGTCGGAGAATCATCACGAAAACGCTACAAAAGTTTAG